CACGAAGGTTCACCTGGAGTCCATGCTTTTTCAAGCTGTGAACTCGGTGGATGCTTTTCCTTGATGTGCCTCTTCAGGGAACGCAAATGCTGATAGCGCATTTGGCATCTTGGGTATGTACAATCAAAAAACGTGAAATTTTCTTCTAAATGGCCCTTTTCAATGTGCCAATTATCATGGCACCCGAGCCCCTCTATATAGCCCGGAATCGGCCGACCGCAGAAAAAAACAGATGATGGGATCTTCATGCATCTGAAGATCCATCTTCAAGGTACAATGAAAAAAAAAACAAATGTATTTTAATTTTACTTACGGAAAAGATCTCTTGCTCCTCCATCAAGAGATCCAATTTGTTTTAATATGTCTTCCATTTTTTAACACTTACTTTACAATTACAAACCGTTCGGTACTGTGTGTTCGGTACGCATCTGTGTCACTTGAAAATTCATACATGTAAACTAAAGTGATCAGATATTTTCCAGGTTAATGCGGGACGCTCTGTCCAAAATACTGAGCATGAATTAAAGAACCATTTTTCTAAGGAAAACAACAATTTATTTATATTTAACAAATATTATGAAAATTTAAACATATTTTTCGGCTGAGTGTCAAAAATCATCTTATGAAAACTATCACAAGTCTCATCAAAATTTTGCCTGACCTGTAGTACAGAGTTCAAAGTATCAACGGTTAGTTGTGTCTTCTCAGTGGTCCAAATTTTGTTAACTACAGAAAAAACTCGCTCTGTAACAGCATTAGTTCCTGGAAGACACAAAGCAAATTCAACTATCTCTCTGAGGTTTTGAATTGGAATGCCATTTGTGTCGAAATAAATAAATATCTCCATCCATCTATTTTCAACTTTTGTGTTGCTCTCTTTCCAACCCTTAATTTTGTCTTCATCACTGTATTTCTTAATATAAGCTACTTCTTCGAAAAGGTCTCGCTCATTTTTATCCGCCTCAAGTAAATCATTATTTCCGCTGAACTCTGCAATGTACTCAAAACTTTCCTGAACGACTGACCATTCAAGTACCTTATTCAAACATACCCACTTAAAGCAATCAACTTTTTCAAATTGAACATTACGAGCTTCCAAGTACAAACTACATGCTCGATAAAAATTCTGCGTGCGAGTTCTAAAGACGCCTGCCTGTGGCCAAGCGTCGTCTACAAGCTTTGTCAACTGACTCCGTACTGCTAAAGAAAGGTTTTCCATTTTCAGCCTCTCTTCAAGCTTGAACTTCAGCTCTCCTACTTCTGACGCAACTTCAACGATGGTTACATTGTTTCCTTCTATCTTTTTTACTGTTTGATGGAATATTGCTGCTTGATTGTGCACAAAATAAAGCCACATTTCGGAACCATCATTTTCAAAGAAATCTTTTAGCATCCTTGGGCAATTATCAATTGAGAGGAAATAATACTTCAATGACGAGAAAAGCTGTAGCACACGTTCAATTGCTGGCATTAGTGCCAGCCACCTAGTTTTGCTGTACCCCAACAATCGATGGTACTCAACTTCTGCTTCCTCGCAAAATTGTTTTAACAACTCAACTCGCACAGTATATATGTGAAAATGAGCGTAGATTTAAATGATAATTCCTTCAATGTCAACTGGCAGCTGATCTGCTGCTGACTGTATGGTATTATGTACGATGTGTGCAGCGCATCCTACACCAATAATCGCAATCCCCCGAAATTAGTATTCGCGTTATCGGCACACAAAGCAACTACCTTGTTTTGTAGATTATGCGTCTTCAATATTTCGTAAATGGAGCTTGCAATTATTTCCGACGTTTCACCTGGCAGAAAAACGAAATCCAACAATTTTATCTAGGTTCCTACTTTGTAATCAAAGTATCGAATTAGAGCATCAGTAATCACAGTCAAAAGCATCAGTAAAAACAGTCAAAAAAATCGATTTGTTGCAACTTTTTCAGCATTTCCTGAACCGAAAAAGGGGCAACAACGTGTTTCACGATAGCTTCAGCTTTCGTACGAGCACACGAGAACTTCGGTTCAAACAACATCCGGATGAGTTTTGAGGAGCAATCCAACGACCGAAAAGTTTGATTGTGGGCAATTGTGTGGTACACGTAAACAGCCTCGGCGACAGCAAGCTTTTTTTCCCTTTGCTCCATACTCCGTTTTACGAAAGAAAGAACTCACTTTGGAAGATGCTGCTGCTGCCAGTAGTGATTTCTTATGCTTTTCAGTAGCGAGATGCCGAGTGATGTCATTTTTTTCACCAGATGCAATCGAAAAAATACTGTTGCATTGGCTACAATGCACACCGTTCTGCGTTTTTGATTGCTTGATTAACGGAAATTCAGCTTCCAGATCATCCGTGAATGTGCACAACCTTTTCTTGGACATGGTTTCCTGCAGAAAGTCATCATTTAGCCAGAACATAGGTACCGAGTATTTGCTTACCCACTTTCTAATATTCTTGGAACAACCGGGAACAATGCGGGAAAATCTGCGAAATTATGATTAACTGATGAAATGAAACATCTTTTTATAAGCTCAAACTCAGTACAAACGATCGATCGATGCTGCAGGCAGAGTGAAAATAATTTTCGCAGTGATTGTGAAGTGAACTCGAAAACATGGGCATAAGTGTTCTACTATTACTTTTATCTCAAAGTTTGGCCAACCCAATTCTGAGAAAATCAGTCACGTAACTTTGGGTGAACTTTAAGCACACAAAATTTTAAAAATATATTGAACAATTTGCCTACGAGGAAAGTTTCATTCAATACCTTTCAAATGATCTAAAGAGAACGAAAATTGGACGTAACATGACAGAGATATGAACATAACAAATTTGTCATGTTTTTTTGGCGGTGTCCTTAAACTTATGATCGGGAGTGTAATCCTACGTCAAAATGTCAAGAACAAACAAAAGTCGCGGTCTTATGAGATACGTTCTTTCCCAGGACGTTCGTACCAGTGGAAGCGATCACTTCGAGCAACGATGTGATAAGAAAAAAGATGTTAATTGCCTGAATGTAAAGGGATTTCTCGCATACAATGTGCTAACTTTAAAGTTACACTTCTTCACACTAACAAAATAAATTGTTTTCACACATTTTATACATAAAGATAGTAGGGGAAATGGATGTAACGTCGGCCTAAATGCCCCTGATTTGGGCCCAAATATAAATTCAGCAATCGACTAAATTTTCAATAGCGTCCAAAATATCCATTAGTACCGTCCCAATGACGCGTTCATGTAGATAAAATTGATAAATAGCAGATTTTTGGCGATGGGCCTAATCTTAGATCCATAGGCCAACATAACAGCCATTTCCCCTATGTTGCCAAATGGCAACACTATGCTTTTGGCGTTAGAAAGCTAGATAATTGGTCAAGCTTCTGCATTCATGTTCCATCAGATGTCACAGTTGTTGTTTGCGGCGACATCTCTCGGAAACTAGACACAATCTGTTTTCCTATAATTGTTCACAGAGGACACTGCAGTGTTAAACATGTCTGGTACCTCTATACATGCATTTAGATTATTATTCGAAGTCCCTCCTTTTTTAGACATTCTGTACACAAAATAGCTCAACCCTCACAGAATTTCCCGCCGAAATTTATGTATGGGGCGGGGCATAAAGTATCTTTTGCGCAGAATATGTAAAAAAGGAGGGACGTCAAATGTTAAAGAAAATGCATTTATAGAGGTACCAGACATGTTTTGTAGTGTCAGGTACTCTATTTTGTAATCTGTGAAAGGGAAATCACAAATCAAGTGTCAACAAAATACATGGCATGTTGAGAGATTCAGGTCGTGAGAGCAAATTTTCTTTCTCAAATTTGATTTTTTTGGCTCTCTGGGACCTGGTAGTAAAGCAAGTAAAACTGTGTGGGGAAAATCATGTTTATTTAATTGTAGCTTGTTTAACAATAATTTCCGGGAAAAAAAACTGAACGACACAGTCCCTGATTCATTTCTTTAGGTTGTCGTGCACTTTTTTTACCTGAATATGGGCCGAAAGCGAATTATTCCCACTTCTCTCAATTTCTTTATGGGGATTTTTATCACTTCCTACCAGCGGAACAGCACCATCTCTATGGAAATGGTCGTACAAAATGATTAATTATTTTATCGTCTAGCGCATAGTGTTGCCATTTGGCATTAGCAACATACCTTTGTTTGAGAAAAATAAAGTATCAAGTGAAATCAAAAAGTTTGTATCGCGGTGCCATCTTTGCGACCAAAAATTTGAACTATTTTTATCCACCAAATTGTAGTCCTAATTAATTCAAGAAACTTCAATGAAGACGTCAACTCAATTCGATGCAATACCAGAGCGTTATTTTTTTTTCCTGCTAGATTTAATGTCTGGCCCACTGTGCACTGATAAATAATATTCCTTTTCTCATAGCTCAAAATGTGGGCATTGGCAGTAGAGGGTTAACAAATCAACCCTATCCAATGATCGTTTGGAAACAGCTACAACCACATCTTGTTTACGCGAGAATATGGTTCTGCTTACCATATCTAAGATAAGAAGTACTTTTAATGACAATAACAAGTTTGCTTAGGTTTTGACGGAGCTGTCTACTTTCCTGCAACAGAAGCAAAAAAACAGACACACCTTGGTATTTGTTGTCGCTCCGAAACACGTAAAAAGCACTCGAGAACATTCAACGCATCGTGCACTGCGAAGTGAAGAATGATGTGGAAGGAATCTCTGTTGCCTCATCGAGCAAGCGAACAAAGCGAAGCTAATCATTATTATTCGTCTCGCTGTGCATCGCGCTTCGCGAGTTCTCCGCGACTCTTCATTGCGTCATTGGGTTTCTTCTTTGGAAATGTGTGTCTGACCATGTCAGGGTGTATCTGTTGGGTTTGAAATTTTCGGCTTCCCAATCTGACAACCGCTTGACGAGATACCCCCTACGTGGTGAGATAGTTTTTTTTTTGTGGAGGAGAACCACAACGATCCATAAATGGGAATTCGGTTCATATCGTCAACAATTGGCTGGCTCGAGATTATTTTTATTCACGCCTGTATACAATTGAAATCTATCGCTTGTTTGATCACGATGACCTGTTGTTATGACTCTTTTGCATTACAAAAAAAAAAGAAGTAACCGTATTGCGATAACAACACACAGATAATTCACCGCCTACATTGGTAGAAGGGTTTAGACTTTCGATGGCAGCTTGATGGAGACGGTCTTCGTTTCCAGGTACTCTTCGACGCCTTCTTTGCCCATTTCACGTCCAATGCCGGATTGCTTGTAGCCACCGAATGGGGCTTGGTTCGATACGGCCAGGTACGTGTTGACCCACACCGAGCCGGCTTCCACCGCGTTGCTGAAGATAAGGGCGTTGTTCAGGTCCTTGGTCACTATTCCGGCCGCCAGACCGAAGCTGGTAGCGTTCGCTCGTTCGATAGCTTCGTCCAGCGTCTTGAACTTGATGATGCACTGCACCGGGCCAAAGATTTCCTCCCTGGCGATGGTCATCGCATCGGTGACGTTCGAGAACACGGTCGGTTCGATAAAGTATCCTTCCTCACCGGACTGAACGCCTCCGGTTTCCAGCTTGGCTCCTTCCTGCTTGCCCTTGTCGATGTATCCCAAAATCTTCTTGAACTGAGTGTCGTCGATCTGAGGTCCATGCTGAATTCCCTGGCTGAATGGATTTCCCACCTTGCGTCCCTTGGCCAGCTCGGTTGCTTTCTGCACGAATGCATCGTAGATTCCCTCCTGGACGAAGGTACGGGTGGCCGCAATACAGCACTGGCCCATGTTTTCAAACACGCCGGAATAGGCAATCTGGGCGGCTTCGTTCACTGAAAAGATTGTGAAATTGTAAAATATGTGCATATTAGGTGCATTTTCAGTCGCAGACATGACATTAAATATGAATATAATCTTATCGGATCAACTTTTCAAGCACAGGCTAATTAAAAAATCATCAGCTTTAAGTATTTGTTGTTTGTTCATTATGTCATATCTTATCACTTAATTTTAAAGAATGAATCACCGAAAATTCAATCTTCCCTGAAAGATCATGTGACATTTTTTGACGTAATAGAATTAAAAATAATTGTTAAAATATGTTCAAGAAGATGGAGCTTGAATGTGACAGATAACGCAGGATACATAAACGTAAACAAATTTCTGTCACCCAAACAATGATTTGTCTAGCAAATTCATAGCAGCTGAATGATTATTGAAGTAATTTCTTACATCAATCAAATACAATTGACACAATCCTACGTTGTAGCGTTCGATTGTTAAAAACAAAAACAAGTAAAATGTAGCGAAATCATGCACACGTGCGATCTGTGTTCAGCTATGAATCGAAGATAACGTTTGATCAAATCTAGAAACATCATTGAATTGAGCGATGAAGGCGCTTATACTTAACCCATTCATGAATTTTACAGACCCAACTTACGTCCCTGAATCGGTTGTTATTTAATTTATGGAGATGCATGGGTGGCTCTCGATTATATGAAGGTCAACACCCTATTCTCATGTTGTGTGCTGTAAGTGTAGCCCTCCATGTATGAATCCAAAGCAGTTCACTGGCTCTTGTCAAAACAATATAAATAAGATAAGAATGCCAGATAGACTGACTGACCATTTTTCACGTAGCTCGAGTCATAGCGATAGTACCGTTCGTCAATAAAAATGCAGTCAGTGCACTTATGTAATGGACTCAAGACCATGGAGCCGATAAACTGAACACTCCTCTAGATTGTTAGGTTCTTACATAACAAAACCGAAGTAACACAAATTCATATACTTAAGTTGAGTAAACTGCTATACAATCAAAACCAGTCGTACAAAAGTTATATAAATTGTTTTTTTTTTAAATAAGTCGTTTATTGTAAAGGCTCAATCGTGTTGGCTTTACGGAGCTGATAATTCATTGTTCATTGTTTGTAACAAAATTCACTTATTTCTATGTCTAGTAGAAATTGAACCGAATACTCGCGGCTTACCCGAGGTTACAGAAGTTCACTGTCGAAGGATAGGATCAGGGGAGGAGCTTGGCGGTGGGGTTTCGTTATCTCATTGGACTGATTATATAAACTGTTAAATAACATGTGAACAATTCCCTACGAATTCGCAAATCGGTAAATTTTTGTATTTTTTTTATTTGGTTGAAAATTTGAGGAAACGTTCCTTATGACCGACAATGCCATTTTGCATCTTCATATCGTCATTTTGAATCCAGCCTTATTTTTGAAAAGGGAATATAGAAAAAAAATCAAGCTTATCTTCAGACAAATTTTACTCGAAAACTGTTTGTCCTATCGGTTTGGTGTCTCGGGAAATATTGCAGGTAATAGACGAGACTATTTGAAAACAAATATGTTCTCTAAAAAAATTACCCAACTTTTTTTTTTATTTCAAAGAAAGCCTTAAAAACAATTTTTCTCAAAAAATGATTTTTTGTATTTTTTATTTGTTGATATGTTTTAGGAAACAAAAAATGCCATCTATTGAACTTTAAGTCAAGATAGAGAAATGATGGACAAGAAAGTTATGATTTAAAAAAAAAACTCAAGTTTTTGGGATAATATGCAAAACTTAGTCCAATTACTTTTTCGACTTTATATAATGAAAGAACACCAAATTTACAACAATTTACAAATTCACCCGATTAAAATGTTGCTAAGTCGCACCGTTTTCGAGATGTAGCGGTTTGAAAGTAGATATTTTTAAATTGTTACACCAATGGACCAAGTTTTGGATATTTTCCCAAAAACTTGAGTTTTTTAACAAATCATAACTTTTTAGGCACTGAAAAGTTCATTCAATTGTGCCTAATACAAAAAATATTGACTGCTTTTGAGAACGTAGTTTCAACGAGGGCTTAATCAATCGTCACGTCGGTCATATCTTGTTATGATGTAAGAGGCACGATAGCCTGAACAATGGGTAAGGAGCAAATCGAAACACATTGAACGTCGCGTAAGTTACTTAATGAAGGCGTAAGTGCTTTTTCGTAGCTCTTAGTTTTTGGAGTTGAGAGATCGTCGGTTGAAGTGAGGAGCAGAAAAATGCGGTGCTAGATCCTTTCATATTTAAGATGTTTACGATCAAATCGCTTGTCTATCGTGTATTTTGCGAAACTTATCATCGTTTTCGGTGCCAGGTTTGAATGGTGACAAAAGATCAAGTAACGGCATGATGTTATACGAGGGGCTCGGTGGCCTTAGAGCGATCGTTTTTGCTTACTGAGCAGAACATCGTCACTCTAACTTCAGGCCCATCCGCATTCAAGATTCGTCAACCGCTTTATTTGTTAAAATGACTGTTGCGTAAATTTGCGCTTCTCAGAATTTAGCAATTTCAAAAAATGATCATCCCTAACATCTGTTAACCGATAGTCTAATAATGACAACTGAGTACAATCGTGAAGATATTGTAGTGAAGATGTGCCGGTTGGAATCAATTGTTTTCGAATAACAAGTTACCGAATTTGTAAGTAATATTATATAATGTTTATATAAGCTAATACATATATTATTATAGCTTTGTAGCTGACTAAAAGACATCAACACTATATATTATCTGCTGAATGAGTCGGTCCTCTCCACAATAATGACTACATGATAATAACAACAGCTCAATCCCTTTTAATCTCGTTTGCCTATTGGTAATCGTTTTTGCTTACTGAAGACGTTCGGTTCAATCCCAAGCTCCTTTGCTTTATATGATCGTTAGGACATCAATTCAGCTTATCGTTTACCAAAACGAACCCTGTTGTAAACCCAACATCCCAGTAATTACTCGTGGAAGTGCAGAGCAGTTCTTGGCTTCCATGTGCCATCAAAGCGAGTGTCACGTCACTCGCTACCCATAAACGCAAAACAAAAATGTATTAAATAGAATGCTAGTTGCATTTTTTATAGAACATTATAATACTATCATTAGTAAAGCAAACAGAATGCTAGGCTTCATCAAAAGGTTCAGTCATAATTTCGAAGACCCATACACTATTAAGCTTTTATATACCACATATGTAAGGCCAATTCTGGAATACTGCCACCTAGTATGGAATCCATACATTTCCATACACGAAGAACGCATAGAATCTGTCCAAAAACAATTCCTTTTATATGCTTTACGTAAATTGAATTGGACTTCATTTCCATTACCATCTTATAAAGCGCGCTGCATGCTCATCAATATACAAACACTTAAGGAGCGCCGCCAATTTGCAATGCTTTTCTTCATCAACGACATTATTTCAATGCGCATAGATTCGGCAGAAATTCTCGCACAATTAAATTTTTACACACCTTGTCGATATCTTAGAACACGGAATTTATTTTCAGAAACATCGTACAGAACAAACTATGCAAAAAATAGCCCAATCAATCGAATGATGCGCCTATATAATTTGCATTGCGGAACTATTGACATCACTATGTCCAAGCAGCAAATACAAACTAAGCTAAAACAGAATAGAATTAATGCATAGTATGTAAGTAAACATTGTAATAATCATTGTATGTAGTCTACACTGGCTTGACGAAATGGAAATAAATTTACTATCATCCTGCGCAGCGAATGATTTAAGTAAACCTTGCAGACGACGTTATTATTTTTTATCTTTTTTATTTCGTGTTCTGTTTACGACACAGACTTGCCACGATTCTTTCCAAATCCCGTTCAGCAGAAAAGCATACGAATTCGAGTATGAGAGGAAGTGAGCACTTTTTATTCGTTTTGAGCACATCCACATTCCGAAGCATGCAAAGAACAGTGGAGAAAGCACAGGTCTGATAATCGCAACGTTCGTGGTTGTGGAGTCCAGTCGGCAACCTTTTTTTTCCGTAATGATTTATTCCACTCACTACCTGACCGAATATCTCGATACCTTAAATTGGTATGGATGAGCCTGACATAAGAGGTAAAATACCAAAAAATAATACTCAAAAAATGTTCCCACAATACCATTCCAATACCAAATTATGATAATGTAATACCAAAACAATACCACCCAGGTATTCTTGTGATATCCAAATATCAATTTTTGGTATTTACCAAATATTTTCCATGTAATTTTTTGGTATTATTCTTTGGTATTTTACCTCTTGTGTCTTGCTGGTCAATACAAAATTTTGGTATCAGATCAAAATTAGGTATTCATTAGTTATTCTCTCCTGCTCGGGTTTGGTATCAAATATCAATTTTAGTTATTTACAAAGTATTTTGCATTTCATTTGTTTTTATTATTCTTTGGTATTTTACCTCTTATCCCGGACAGGAAAAAGTAACTTATTATTACCAAATTCAGGCATGAAAATAGCATAACTGGCAACCTAAATATGGTATTAGTGAGGCTGACATAAGAGGTTAAATACCAAAAATAATACCTCAAAAATATTCTACGAATAACGAAATAACAAATAAATTAGTTATTACAACAACAAACGGATAACAGACTCTTTTTAAGGTGTCATAATAGTTTGTTATTTTGAAGGTCTTCTAATACCAATTCAATAACTTTTTTAGGTAGGTATTAATTTCTAAAAGCCGAAAGATCACATTTTGTTATTCGGGTATTCATTTGATATTATATAAAATATTTCTATAACTGAATAATATCAAAACAAGGTTTTATACCACAAGCATACCAAAATCTGGTATCATACCACATTAAGATATTCATTAGTTATCGATTAGCTATCGGTTCCTGCTCGGGATTTCATGCTGATCAACACCAAATTTTAGTACCAGATCAGAATTAGGTATTCATTAGTTATTTTCTCCTACTCGGGTAATATACTCCTCATTTGATGATGATGAATGCCTCATTACTGTA